ATTTCACTTATATTGCAATGATAATTACCTATTAATTGTTATTTAAGTGAAATTACTGAACTTAAATATACAAGTTTGATAAAAAATCGTCATTAAAGAAGAAAATTTCAAATGGCATTTAGAGGCTTTTGCATCTGAACTCTTCATATATATATATATATATATATTTTGTTCAAAAGCATTTTAAATTGCGATCAAATTTTTTAAATCAGAAAAAAATAATAATTCACAATTATATCTTTATCAGCCCCAAGATCTGATTCATTTTGAACACCTAACACCTCAAACTAAAATCTTTTTAGATTAAAAGCCACTAATCTGACAAACCCTGCTTGTGACTAAAGCAGGTTTGCACAATTCGGCCATGATTTTGTGATTATATAAATAATAATAATTATTACTAATTATATAATTAGCTGCTTACATAAAGGTACACAGAGCCACGTTTCACTCTGAAACACGCAGCACATATATTCATTTCATTAAAGTGCAGCATTTGAGATTACTGTGAATGATAACACAGTGGAAAAATATTATTATTAATAAATGAAGAGTTCAGATGCAAAAGCCTCTAAATGCCATTTGAAATTTTCTTCTTTAATGATGATTTTTATCAAACTTGTATATTTAAGTTCAGTAATTTCACTTAAATGGCAATGATAATTACCTATTAATTGTTATTTAAGTGAAATTACTGAACTTAAATATACAAGTTTGATAAAAATCATCATTAAAGAAGAAAATTTCAAATGGCATTTAGAGGCTTTTGCATCTGAACTCTTCAAATGTAACTATTAATTAAAAATTGGTGACTTATCATACAGCTGTTTTATAAAATAACTCTGGCTTTATCACTGTATTAAACTAAAGCTAATAAATGTTGGAGAAGGCTAATAGTCTTTGTGCACTGCATCATGTTCATTCTGTATTCAATATGAATGCATGTGTGCAGTACGCGAGCAACATTTTGAATAATCCGAATGTGTCCAGTGATTGTGCTAGCATTTAAAAGTGCTGTTTCAAGCACTATTACTGTAACCTTGAGCTAATGTTGTGGGGAGAGCAGAGCCTGATAACATGTGCCACATTCAAATGGCACCGTGTTATTTTTCATCCCCTTAAATACCAGACTATGATGCAGAGGGGTTTGTATTCATGGGAGGAGGTTGTTGCACTTTCAAGGATGACAGTTCTGAATAAATCCGTGTTGACCTTCTGACTGCAACTCTGCTTTATTATTTGAATCTCTGGCCAGATGAATTCACGAGCGGGCAGTATAATCGAATTTCCCTCATCGTTGTGGGTCTTCCAGCTGCTTAAGTCAAGCATTTCGAAAGCAAAATCTAATATTTAATTAGATTCTCAATTAGGTTGTCTGGGGGAATCTCACGAAAACCATCAAGAACGATCAGTCCAGATGCCAATAAAATAAATACTTATATCATATTGACAAGGTTAGGCTAAATGTCTAGTGATTTTTGATCACTGATTTAAAATAAAAATTGATTTTCTTTTCAGTCATTTTAATACATGGAATCTGATGAGAACCACTTTCAAGAATTACAACAAAACAAAAATTAGAATTTGGGGCAAACCACGTTTAATTGTCATTAAATAAAAAATATGTCTCAAATAAAGAGATTGATAAATAATTAAATAAATTTGTTTGAAATATTAACTTTACTTTGTGACCTTAATTTATGAAGGATCATAGTAGCCCTCAAACTGTATAGCCCTTAATCCTGTAATTGTGGGCACAGACTCAGGTGTGACACTAATTTTTATTTATTATAAATTTTATATCACTGTCTTCGATAAAGTTTTGTCTATTCATTTATCATGTTTTTTTTTTAATTTGGGGGTATATTTGAATTTATTTACTTCAAAAAGTACCATATTTTCTATGTAAATTATTATGTTTTATTTTTTTTAACTACATTAAAACATCATTCCAATAAGTTCTTAGAGCTAAAACCTAAAGGTGAAGTGACTTTGCGGTCACCTGGTGTCTTATTTTGGCTTATTTTAGAATGCTCTAAATTAGAGTTTTTCCCATTCATTTCTATGGGTGGCCATTTTTTCACACACTTAGCATTGTAGAATTGAGTCAAAAAATTGTGTGTGTTCAGGAGCCAAACTTAGGAAAAGTAGCCAAGTCTTGTACCGCTCAGATCAAGGGAAATATTTTTTTTTTAAAGTAAATCAAAACTATTTTGCCCACATTTGTCCAGAATACAGTTTTAATGACAGTTATGATTCATAAAATATCAGTACAGACACACAGGACAGGCTTTGACACACTTTTCTCTTATCGTTGCTTCATCTGCTATTGTTGGTTCTAGAATAATATTATCTGTGCAACTTCCTCTTTTCCTCACTATGACTCGAGTAAACTTTTTCCAAACTCACAATATGCATCGTTAATGCAAATGTTTTCTTTATGTCTCAAAAGATCAAGGCAAATGCAATTCCCATGAGACATAAACTGAAAATAGCCATTACATTTGCAGATGCTGAATTAAACCCTTGCACGTTTTGCAATTAGTTTCATATTAAATATTCAAAATAACTTCCTCAAGAGTTTGTTTTCTTCGTTTTTTCATAAATGATTCTGAGCAACGCCTCGGAACTGGTTTCAGCAGAGACTTTGTTTGTGAAACTGTATTTTTCTTTCAAGTGGAAAAATAAAGGTACAACCACAAAACAAGTCCTGACAGCTGTGGATTCTTCCTGCAGCTGAGATACAACAAGTACATCACAGGCCGCTTTTGTGTTCATCTGCAGCTCTACAGAAACTAACAAAAGGCATTTGTTTGCACTACAAAACGCGAGTTTGAGAGAATGTATTAGTATAATCCATGTCTCCGAGCGTGTGTGTCTAAGCAGAAAAAAAGAAGAAGATGAAAAAAAAAAGAGCATGGTCTTTCGGGTTCTTTCAATTCATTTCCACTAATGGTTTCCAAGCATCTCCACACAATCAGGCAGCTGCTGCGTGGTCGATGCATCAGCGAGGACGAGAGGAGATGCGCATTCCCAGTAGAGATCCGAAGAACACAGACACTCAGCAATACAGCTGCTCCCCTGCATTAGCTCAAAGAAACGCCACGCAGAACTGCGCTTTAAAGCACTTTTCATCAATAACAACTACATGCAGTGTTGGGGAATAACTAACTGACACTATAACTTAAATAAAAAATGATTCACAGTAATTCTAATGCATTTTAGCTCTTCTTCATGAAGCTTCAGGGTCTTATGCTGAAACTTCATTCACAGCTGGCATAAAGAGCTCAAACACGGCGAAATTTAAGCTCATTTCACGGATCTCTCGTGGCTTACAGCACAATGTCATGCTGTTAGGAAGACGCTCGGCTCTCTGGCGGCTTCGTGTCACCCAAAAGAGCAGAGCATTTGCAAAAAAATACAACATAAAAAGGGGGCAAAGACAAATGAAGAAGGAGGGAAACCCATTGGGTGAATTGCACAAACCGAGTAAGGAAAAAAAAGCTGAGAATTAACACTTGAATGGCAAATTTTCCCATCCAGACACTGCAATTCTCATCTTTTTACAATAAAAGACCCACTTTTATCTTGCTATGGCTAATGGCAACAATGACATCTGAATTGCATCGTTGGCTTGCGAGACTACGTCGCCCTTTGAGGTCTCAGGGTCTGATCACCATATCTCACTGGACGGATCCTATGCAAGCAAACATAAGTTCAAGAGGTCAAACGAACAATATCTAATCGGATTTAAAGAGAGGAGGCATGTTAACAATACTTCTTCAATAGTCTAAAGATCAAGGTGATCTGACCCAATAACTCATTTCAACAACCTTTCCTCACTAACAAGCAACACATCACAATAAAACTTTCGAAAACTTCAAACTGTTATGGCACTTTGACATCTTAACCCCTTTGATGCATGAATCGTTAAAATCACAAAAGACTCAAATGTATATTTAAGCTAGAAATAAGATTATCTGACTCTGATTCTTTCTAAAATTATGCATTGTAAGAGTTGCAGTTATTTGTTTAGTGCATTAGAAGATCAATCACTGGCTTATCCAATAATAAAAAACAAAATGACACCTAAAGAGGACAATCATATTGTCATAAATCCTCCATGAAGAAACAATATCATCTGTAAAATCAAACCACTCCTGCTCAGTCTTTTCCTCTCCACTACGACAGTGACAATTTGTCTGTGAAGTGATTTATCGCTAAGACTCGTAATGAATGATAAAGGCTAATTCATAGAAAACAGAAAAGACCAAAGATCAGCAATATAACAAGTAACGTTACTAAAAAAAAACATTTTCTGGCTGAAAGCAAAGCTTATTACTAAGAAAAATGACACGATTTCATGTTTCACTCCTCTACTTACGTTACACCAGTTGACATCAAGGATGAGGGTTGGAAGAAATCATCTTAAACATATTTAGGGTGCTTTATTATAAGCTCCTTGTATTTGAGAGACGCAATATTTCTACTTAAAAATCCATCTGTCGTACAAAAACGTCTTTTAAATTAAGAGCTAAACAGTTAAACAGTTACTGTATGCACTTTACTTCATTAAATATGTAGCTGCTAGCTAGATGTTAACATAAAAAATGGTTCTGAATGAGAAAAAAGCTCACTGACATGTAAACTAGCCTTTAACAAGATGATGCTAATGTAAACAAAGGAACTCGGAGTCGGAGCACTTGACGTGCCTGTCATACGTCAACTAACTAAGGCTACTTTACGCACGATTTTAAGATTGAAAAGAAGCGTTTTAAGTTAAATATATGGACAGACTTCATATACTTTTAAAAAGGTGGGAACCGATATCTTTAACAACAGATTGTGATTACTAACACATCGTTTGGTGAGTTTGTGACTTATCAATCTGCTTCAGTGCGCAAACAACAGCAACTATCCACACAAACCAACACGGGCGCGCGCTCAGCGTTACCGAAGGACGCGCGATCTCCGGCAGATTAATGAAAATAATACCTCACCTTTTGCTTTCACTTTAATATAGACCATCCAGGAAACACATAATGTTGAAACAGATAATTTCCGAAGGGTTCTTAGAGTCCGACAGTGCTGAGAAGATCTGTATCACAGCAGTGCTGTGTGTGAGAGACTTCTGAGCTCTCGTGTGTGTATGTGTGAATCTTCAACGGCAAAGTGACGGTTCACGTTCGTTTGCACTTGAAGGAAGCGGAGTGACGTCATCAAAGGGCTTATTCACAACATATGATAACTATTACAAGACATCCAAAAAGATAATAACAAGATATTAGGTTTACACATTTTTGAAGTCTTGTTATGGTTGTAAATGTTTCACGTTTGTCTTAATGTCTAATAATAAAATAAATAAAAAATCAGTGTCTCATTCCTTTCATTTTAACTGATAGCCTAAAGTACCAGTCAGAGTTTGGAAACATTGCTATTTTTTATGTTTTTGAAAGAAGTCTCTTATGCTTATCAAGTCAATGTCAAGATCAAAAATACAGGGAAAAAACTGTTATATTTTGTGAACTTAAAATTTAAAATAATGGTGATCTATTTTGATATAAAATATAATTTATTTCTCTGATGCAAAACTAAATTTTCAGCATCATTACTACAGTCTTCAGTGTTACATGATCCTTCAGAAATTTTTATTTATGTTCGTTTTTTGGAGCTTGATAACCTGTCACTGTGGAATGAATATATATATATATATATATATATATATATATATATATATATAAAGTATTATTATTATTATTATTATTATTTGGGAACAATTAATGGCAGAATTTTTATTTTCTGTGCACTATGCCTTAAATTAAAATGAATTGATCACACTACTAATGCATTTAAATGGAAAGGACATGTTCTTTATTTAAGTTAAGTCCTCTTCAGCTGGAACAGTGACAGTACACTATTATACCAACCAGTTTTGTTTGCTTGTCTGAGGCAGAGAGATTTCAGTTTAAGGGGATAAAATGCAGGCTTAAAGGGTTAGTTAAATCCATAAATTAAAATTCTGTCATCATTTACTCACCGTCATGTCGTTACAAACCCGTACGACTTTTGTTCATCTTCAGAACACAAATGAAGATCTTTTTGATGAAACCTGAGTCCTTTCTGTCCCTCCATTGACAGCTACACAACTACCACTTTGACTCTTCAAAAAGTTAAAAAAGAGATCGTAAAACTAATCCATTTGAATAGCGGTTTAGTCAAAATGTTCTGTAGTGACTGAATTTAGGCTTTTATTCATGTATAAACATTCATCAACTCACACATCAGTTATGATAAATGGAGGCTCAAGCATGTTTGCTTGACATGCAAGAACCAATGAGGTTCATTCTTGTGTTACGCATCACGTTTGAGCTTCAGCAAGAACCAATGAGGTTCATTCTCGTGTTACGCATCACTTTGAGCTTCAGTAAGAACCAATGAGGTTCATTCTCGTGTTACGCATCACGTTTGAGCTTCAGCAAGAACCAATGAGGTTTGTCCTCATGTTACGCATCATTTTGAGCTTCAGCAAGAACCAATGAGGTTCATTCTCGTGTTACGCATCACTTTGAGCTTCAGCAAGAACCAATGAGGTTCATTCTCGTGTTACGCATCACTTTGAGCTTCAGCAAGAACCAATGAGGTTTGTCCTCATGTTACGCATCACTTTGAGCTTCAGCAAGAACCAATGAGGTTCCTTCTCGTGTTACGCAGCACGTTTGATCTTCTGTAAGAACCAATGAGGTTCATTCTTGTGTTACGCATCACATTTGAGCTTCTGCAAGAACCCAAAACCCCTCTAAAACCAGTTTGGCCAGACTGGGAGACCAGTAAATCATCTTAGGCTGCATCTGATTTTTAATAAACAATTGGATTAATTGATAAAAATTAATTAAAAAAAAAATTGCCATTGCTTGGAGGAGAGAAAGAATCATTTGTGAGCGCAAGCCTATTTAGACCGTTTTTTTTTTTTCCAAGCACAAATGGTGTAATATTTGTCGTTAGGAGAAGGTGAAAATGACCAAGTTAACTGTTAAAATATTGATAGTGTTTTTTTTGTCCACAAGGCCTGTGATTTCACACCTCGCTCCTTTTAACATTATGAGACCATTTACAGACAAAGTCACTCGTGAAAAAAATCCTTATTCAGCTCGCAGAATTTAAATCAGGTTTCCTGCGAGCTCATTGATTTTGCCTTCGTATTCCTTTGACTGAGGTTGTTGGTTTGAGCTCAGCTTTTGGAGTGGCGTTGGGGACAGTATGAGATTCTGTGATTGTAATTATATTGGGGAATCTTGATTGGGAAAGCAGAGGGGGAAGCGAGAGCTCAAAGCAAATTCATTACCGCAGAGGCCAAACATGCCGAGCTTTTCTGCATGCAGTGAAAATGTCAGCTTCACCTCGGTCATTTGTAAAGTAATAAGCAGAAGCACAATGACGGCGAGGCGCAGCAGCACAACGGGGGGAAGGGCAAATCTGCCAGTCGCCTTAAAAAGGATTTTTAAAAGAGTCTTGATTAGAAAGTATAATGAGACTGTGAGGAACGCTGCACGCTATCTCTCCAGAGGCTGATGGAAAACAAATGAATGTAGCTATTTTGTTTTAATTCCTATTTTTCCACATTAGTCCATGGCACATCCTGAGTAGTTGTCATCGTCGTCCGCCACCAGAGCCCATGCAGACAGAGTTATTGATTTTCTGTAGACACATCAAGGGAATGCAGAGTAATCTTTTTCCCTTTTTTTTTCTCAGCAAAAACAATAACCATCCAGCACAAAAAGACGGAAGAGAGGACAAAAGGAAAGGTTGAAGAAAAACAAACTAATTCTTGTTCTTCCAAACATTTTGAACACTTTGTGTCATTTGATCAAATGGGCTGGAATGTTTTACAGTGACACAAACCAACTAACACCACAAAACGTCACACATTTCATAATGTTATAGAACTGCTGTTTTCCCACCAAAATGATGTCACTTCCTGGAGGATGGTGAGTTAAAATACAGTACACTCTTCTTAAGCACATGGTGACCAACCATGTACACGGCTCATTTCATTTATTAAAATTTCGCCCTAAAAATTCTAAATGAAGCAACCCACAATCACACCATTTGTTTGCTATTGTGCCATTAACCTGCATTAGATCAATAACAGAGTAATTATGGCTTTGTCTCTCCGGTAAATGTTCTCTTAAATAAAGTAATTGCTCTATTATTGCAGATGAATCTGACAGTGGCAGGAATTAATTACTGTCAAGAGATCGTACGCGGCGTATCATTTGGATGGGTGACTATTCAGCTGCTTGCTGACATGGATAATGTATTCAAATATTCAAACGATTCATCTCTCAGTGGTGGTTTTGTGTTTGTATTTATAAATAAAAAATACCCTTTTATTTTACTGCACAATTTACATATGCATATTAATAATGCATGCATTTGAAAACGAATGAAAGCAAACACATTTTGATAGGGCATCAAAGCAGGATGAGCATTTGTGTTAGGTTTTTTGTTATTTGATGGAGAAAACTCATATTCATATTAGGGAAAACAGTAAAAAGATCCTGACCTGTTGAGATGTTGAGTTCTGAGATTTGTAGTAACTCATTTTTAAGAAAATCTACAGTCATTTGGTCACTGTCACAAAACCCAGACAGGTTGATCAGGACCCCACTGCACTAACCAAATACTTAACTAGAAATGAAACATTCATTTGGCTGCCTAAAAAAAATGAAGACAAATAAAAAATGGCTAACACATGCCCTGATTTTTTCAAAACTCACCAAAAACATGAATGAAAGGTAAATATAACAAAGACCCCTGTGGATGATATTCAAAGAGACTACATGCAAAAATCTCCATGTTATTAGCGAGACTAGTGGCCTTTAAGTGAACTGCACCGAGATAATTATTGCTCACGTGATTCAATGCACCAAAATACTCACAGTTATTTTCTGTTCTTTGCTTAGAAGTAAAAAAGAGTTGTAAATACTTTTGCAGTGATATAGACCTTATGTAGCCCCGCCCCTTTTCAGCGTTGCGCTCGTTGTCTTTCAACTTCCGGTCTGTATTTTCACAGCGATCTTGCATAGGTATGAATGCTCGTAAAACATTTCCCGGTCGACATTTGTTAAGACATCTCTTTAACAATGCGTATGATAAACATTACAATGCTCATGATAACTTTTGTTAACTCTAACATAAGTAGCTAAATCCACTTCACCAGCTAATTACTCCTGGACAGCGATGCCATAGAGATATACAGAGCGACCGCAAAACCGGAAGTTCAAATACAATATTCTAAAGATGACTCCGCCCACTCCACGCGATGAAAATGACAGGAGTGAGAAAGCATTCACAGATGAGGTCATTAAAATTACTCTGTTATTATATTTAAGACTTTATAGATCTGGCTATGTGAGACTATAGTTTGAATAAATCCCTTATTTTTGCATGACACATTGATATTACTGTAGAGAATGGCTCTTTCGTCATTATCCTGACACATGTGTCATTGAACGGAAGAGTGGCTTTCGGGAGTGTAAACGTCACATCCTTTGGATTTTCCCAGTGAAACCTTCTCATAAAAATCAGTCTCAGGCTTTTTATAGACAACCTGGACTGGAGGTTAGGGAAGGTCTCGTTTTTTTATGATTCGTTACAAACTGTGCACACATTGGCAATACAAAAAGTGATTAATACATGAAAAATTCTTATATATAGCCTCTTTAATGATGCATATTTCTAAATGAATCATCTGACATAATCCGTTGCAGGGATATTATTTCAATTCAACCAGTTGATGCTTTTCTTTTGATTGTTTGTCTTGACACACCAACACACACGACTGAACATTATTGAGACCAATCTTCCAGATCAAGAACACAATCTGGCCATTGCAAGAATCAAGTGTTATCATATGACCCTGGAAAATCCCATGGCTTTTTGTCTATTAAGGAATGTTCCGAAAGGAAACACTTATCATCCAGTGAACAGCAAGAACAGTGTTGATTTGACAAGATGAATGAGTACAGGATCACAGGACTTGTATTACCCAGCAGCCTCTTGGTTCCTTCCAGTGGGCATCCGTCTTAATGGTCCTGCTTGTTTTAGCTCTGTTAATTGGGGCTAGAGACGGCAGAGCAAGGGAACAGAACAAA